AGTATTGCAAAGATGGAGATTTATTGAAGAACAAGTACAGACTCCCACGTGGGGAGAGGGAAAGAGTCCCACAGAATGGACTCCCATGTGGGGAGGGGGAAGAGTCCCTACCTTCTGTATTTGATACAATGTTGCAGTCCGGCTGGCTGAAGCCCAGCTGACTAAAGCAGGTTTCTGGGGTTTTGTTTAGCTTCTGTATTTGCAACATAGTTGCTTAGAGTTGCAGCTGAGAGGCCGGCAAGTCAGGCGGGGAACGTTGGAGTCTGCCGTCACTGGAGCAAGCAAGCCTCCCTGTTCGCTTCAGTGCATGGCTGCTGGCCGCCATCTTGGCTGACAGTTAATTTGCATATCGCCCTGATTAGCCAATGGGAAGGGTAGCGGATGTACGGCTAATTACCATGTTTCTCTTTTATTAGATAGGATTCCCACAGCCCTCCCACCATGGATTGCCAAGAAAATGAATATTGGGACCAATGGGGACGGTGTGTCACTTGCCAACTGTGTGGCCCTGGACAAGAGCTCTCCAAGGTAAGTCCTGGTGGTCAGAATATTTCTTCTGTTACATCTTAGGAACCATCTGGCAATTGAGAGGGTCCAAAATTGGGAGAGCCCCACATGTGCTTAATACAGTTCAATGGGCAAAATATGGAATCCAAAGATTATAACAATAGCTGTTATAGCTCCAACAAGAAGTCAGCCTGCCAAGGTGAGGGTCAGAAGGGGTTGTTTTCTGCTACCTTGTCTTCCAAATCACTGGTTTGATCCTTGGCTTCATCTAACTTACTATTGATTCATTCTAGTGTATTCTTCATCTCAGATCTTGTATTCATTTATGACTGGTTCTTTTTTGTTTCTATGTCTTCTTTTATACTTAGTATCTCTCTGTTTAAGTCCAAGTTTTCTGAGCATCCTTATAACCATTGCTTTGAACTCTGTATCTGGTAAATTGCTTGCCTCTATCTCATTTAATTATTTTTATCTGGGGATTTCTCCTGTTTGTTTATTTGGGACATGTTTCTTTGTTTCCTTTTTTGGCTGCCTTTTTCTATTTGTTTCTGTGTATTAGGTAGATATGCTATGTCTCCCAGTCTTAGTTTGGTGGCTTTATGCAAGGTGTCCTGTGGGTACCAGTAGCACAGGCTCCCTTATCACCCAAGCAAGATGATCTAGGAATATCTCAAGTGTGGATTATTGTTGGGGTCCAGCCCCAGCAGGTCCAGGGGTTCCCAAAAGTGTGGACGGAGTCAGTGAAGAAGGAATGACACGGAAACAGCGTTCAGTTGATCAGCAGCCTAGCCAGGATCTCTAGCCAGGATCTCCAGCCAAGTTCTGTGTTTTATTGTCTTATTACATCTGTATTTATACGAGTTGATTTTAATCCTATCAATTTCTAGTCCAAAGGTTAGGGCATTTCTTATCTCCATTCCAGGGAGTAAAGATTATGTAGCTTAAGCGTGATTGTTCGTAGTTAAAGTGATTAACTACCCACCTGGCACTTAGTTAAGGGGTTTTATTCCCTCCCTAACTTCAGGGGAAAATCCCCACCTGGAGAAACAACCTTTCTCAGAGAGGTGACCTTGGTTAAAACACATAGCGCCAAGAAAGGGGGCAAACATATTAAGAACAGTATGCCATATACGCCAGGTCCCTTGAAACATATGCTGTGCAGATGTTTCTTCCCTGCAGCAAGGATGGACTGGCTTCCGGCAGGTTATATTATCCCTATTATTGTAGTTGAGTCTTGATTGTTGTTGGCTCCTCTGTGAGTGGAGTCAACCCTCAGGCTGCCTGACTGTGAGAATTATCATTGGCCAGAGCATATGAGCTATTGTGCATGTGCTGACCACATGAAGTGGAATTGGCATTAGCAGGGTCTGGTTCCTGCTTAGATCTCCCTTTGGAGGTGCTACTTGTGGAGCTAATTGGGTCCTGCTCTTATGTGATCTGAAACCTGTCACTGGGTGTGTTGTTTCTGGGGCCTCTTAGGAGGGACTGTAATATAGGCCAATGTCAGACACTACTTGTGACTGGCCTTGAGATGTTTGGTGCTACAAAGTGATCCACAGTTTGTTGCAGCCTCTACTGGGCTTGTTTGTACATAGGAGAGGCCAAGGTGCACACCAAGGATGGATTTCACCATCACCAAACCTAGTGGTAAGTCTTAAAAATGTTCAAGGCACCTTCTGTTCCACCTTCACTTGCCTTTGCCTGCCAGCTGCCTTTTAAGTCAGTCAATGAAAAAAATCTCTGGAATTGTGTGAAATAGGTTCTCAGTGACTCACCAGGTAAAAGTGAATGGTGTTCACCAGACTGATACAGATTCAAACTCAGTTCCAGTTATGGGTTTGAGTCCAATCAGCAAAAGTTCCAGGGTACACCAAGGCCTGCCACCACCCACCAGATGCCTGCGGACCTTTGTGGTGGGCTAGTGTCTCAGGGAGTTGTCAGGGTGAGGCCAGCAGCATTCATCAGGCCTAAACAGAACAATATTTGTATGAAGGGATGGTTCTGCACAGGTGGGAAACACAAGTGGGAAAATGCCCCCATTTTAGAGTCACACAATTCAGTCTGCCTCTGGACCTCCTTGACAACCCTAGCTCTCCAGGGTAGGGATGCTGGAGTCAGGAGAGTGGAGCTAGTGGATCTCCCATGGGGGGGACTGTTCTGGGAAGGCTTACGGGAAGGGGAGGCAAATGATCTCCATCCCAGTGCCACACAAATCTGTCTCTGACATCCACTGAGTTCTTCTGAACTCTACATCTTGGACCCAAACAGCTAACTGTCTTACAGAGTGTAAGCTCTAGGAGTTCAGAGGGTGGGGCTATTACATTCCCTGAGGGTGATGCCCAATGGAGGGGAGTGTTCCACCAAAGAAATATGGTGTCTTTGGGATGTGAAAAGAAAGCACAGAGACCCTGGTGGCTGTCCCTTCAGTTCTTCCCAGAGCCACACAACTCAGTCTTTCCTCAGAGGACTCTATTCTGCTCCAAGCCACCCTCTTTCTGCTGAAGCCCAGGGTGAGTGGCTGTGAATGAGATTTTGTGCTGTGGACCTTTAAGAGGATGCCTGGTTTTCTAGCAGACTCCTATCTCCCTGGTTGACAGAATTTTTGCTGATTTTCACAGCCAGATGTTATGTGGGCTACTCTTCCTTGTTCTGGTGCTCTGGGCAAGGGAGCCTGTTGTAGAGTTGAGATCCCATGCTCCTAAGGGGGAACCTTTGCAGCTGAGATATCCCTCCAGAATCTCAGCCACACACCCCCCATGAGTGTGGGGCCAGCCCTTTTCACATCTCCACACTTCCTACTAGTCTCTATGTGGCTTCTGTAAATCCTTAGTTATAAAACTTCTGTCTGGCTACTCTTCAGTTGGTTTTTCCCGTGGCTTTTTCTATATTTTAGTTGTAATTCCACTTTGGTTCTGGGAGGAGATGAATGTAACTTCCACCTTTTTCTCAGCCATCTTTAATCTCCTACAAAATCTATTTGAAATATCACATTGATCTCTTTTTTAATATAGTTTTATTGATTTCAGAGAGGAAGGGAGAGGGAGAGAGAAATAGAAACATCAATGATGAGAGAGAATCATTGATCAGCTGCCTCCTGCACGCCCCTACTGGAGGATCAAGCCCACAACCTGGGCATGTGCCCTTGACTGGAATCGAACCCGTGACCCTTCAGTCCACAGGCCGATGCTCTATCCACCGAGCCCAACGGGCTAGGGCTCACATTGATCTTTATGATAAAAATTATGTTACTCCCAAAGAAAGATCTCTTACAAATGTTTCTGTCATGTACATGGCTTTTACCTGTAAAGCTATCTGAACTTCTCCAAGGGAGAAAAATAAGTGTTTCTGTCAAACTGCTTATCAAACTCAAAAAATTGCCCATGATTAAATGTACATTTGTCTAAGCACCATTCTGGTACCATTCTTTTTTCTTCACCACTAGAAAGCTCAGAGAAAGTGAATGAATTGCAATACTGTGCTCTGGCAAAAGCTTTATATATAAACTAGAGGCCCGGTGCACAAAATTTGTACATGGGGGTAGGGTCCTTTCAGCCCAGCCTGCACCCTCTCCAATCTGGGACTCCTCCGGGGATGTCTGACTGCCAGTTTAGGCCTGATCCCAGGGATCGGGCTTAAACCAGCAGTTGGACATCCCTCTCACAATCCTGGACCGCTGGCTCCTAACCACTCACCTGCCTGTTCGCTCCTAACTGCTCCCCTGCCAGCCTGATTACCCCTAACTGCCTCTGCCTGCCGGCCTGATCCCACCAACTCCCCCCCATTCCCGCCGGCCTGTTTGCCCCCAACTGCCTCCCCTGCCAGCCTGGTCGCCCCACACAGCCTGCTGCTCGGTCATTTGGTCGTCCCTCACTAACCCCCCTGCCAGCCTGGTCAACCCACTCAGCCTGTTCAGTCATCCATTCAGTTGTGATGCTTGCTTAGGCTTTTATATAGATAGACTAGAGGCCCAGTGAACAAAAATTTGTGAACTCAGGGGGGTCCCTCAGCTTGGCCTGTGCCCTCTCGCAGTCTGAGACCCCTCGGGGGATGACCACCTGCTGGCTTAGGCCCGCTTCCAGGGGGATTGGGCCTAAGCTGGCAGTCAGACATCCCTCTGGCAGCACAGGAGCCCTCAGGGGATGTCCACTTGCCAGTGGGGAGCAG